GAAGAAAATCAATGCATTGGAGATAATGTGGTGCTGGAGAAGAGTGCTATGGATTCCATGGATAACCAAAAAGAAATATAAATGGGTCTTGGATCAGCTCAAGCCAAAAATCTCCCTAAAGGTCAAGATGACAAGACTCAGGTTGTTGTACTTTGGACACATCATGAGAAGAGAGGACTCTTTGGAAAAGACAGTAATGCTAGGAAAGGTGGAGGGAATCAAGAAGAGAGGAAGGCCACATGCTAGATGGATGGACTCTATTAAGAAGGTCACAGGTATTAAGAGGTTGCAGGAATTAAGCAGAGCAGTGGAGGCTAGAGGATCTTGGAGATGTCTCAACCATAGGGTGCCCCATGGGTCGGTATTGACTCAAGGACAGTTAACAACAAAACCTGCAATTGTGCAAAGGGTTTTCACACACAAAGCGCTGTTATCCTGTGCAGAATCCACGATTAAACCACACTTGTATGCAAATGCGCAAATGGTTTTCACACAACGTTGAGACAAAACGTGATTAAAATGCCATTATCCCATGAAGAACAAGGCAAGAAACAACACTAACTATTTCATGGAATTTTCCCGTGAATGACTTTTTCTTGTTTCTTGCCTGACTATTCCCTGGTTCTTCACAGGATAATGGCACTTGCGCTAATGTTGTTTTAAGTGCATTTTAATGTCAGTTATGTGGTTTTCATGGTTAATCGTTGTTTAAACTCCCATGTTCCCCTATGTGACAAACTCCCTAGGAATTGTAGTTTGTTGTAGCACCAGAGCTCTCTGACAGAGAAGGCTTAATGTCTCACAAAACAACAGTTCCTAGAATTCCCTAGCATTGAGCCAGGACAGCTAAAGCGCTTTCATACTGGATTATTTCTGCAGTGTCTTTTGAACTCTTCTCTCTAGAGGAAATGGTGGCAGTGATTTGTTGTTGTTGTTTTGTGTGCCTTCAAGTCATTTCAGACTTTTGGTGACTCTAAGGCAGGGTGACCAGACATGTCCTTCTTTTCCAGGTCATGCCCTACATTTCAACCTTCTGCACAGGTGGAATTGCAAAATGTCCTCCATTTGGAGCAGGACTAAGAAGCATGAATTTAAAATGGTTGAATTCAAAGATATAGCCATGTTAGTCTGTAGAATCAATATGGAGAGAGGTATTTGTAACACTTTTGAGACTGAGAGAGAAAGTGGCAGCATGAACTTTCCTAAACTTTAGTCTACTTTCTCAGATGCATTTGACTTAAATAGACTTAAGTCTATCAAAACTCATGCTGCCAACTTCTTTCTTTCAGTTAATCTCAAAGGTGCTACAAAATCTCTCTACATGCATGAATTTATACAGTCACCCCTCCGTTCTCACGGACTTTAGGGCTGTGGTTTTGAATATTCACGGAGGGGCGACCTCCATTAAAATCAACAGGCATGCCGCCACAGGTGCGTGCTTGCATGCGCCCATGAAAATGCACCCCATTCAAGCCTTGAATATCAGAGAATCTCTGTTTTCATGGGGAGGGGGGTCTAGAATGGATCATCTGCAAAATCGGAGGGCTCACTGTAGTTATATTACTGCTTTTAGCTTTTCTTCAGCCATGCTCTACATTATTCTTTACTATCTTGCATTTTATGGTGCCTTGTCCTACTTTATGGTTAGGACATCTGGTAACCCTGTCCTAAGGTGAAGCTATCATGGGGTTTCTTGGCAAGATTTGTTCAGAGGAGGTTCACTATTGACTTCTCCTGAGGCTGAGAGAATGTGACTTGTCCAAGGTCACACATGGGTTTCATGCAAGGTGACCAGATGTCTTCCTTTTCCAGGATGTGTCCTACATTTCAACCTTCTGCCCAGGCAGAATTTCAAAATGTCCTCCATTTGGAGCATGACTAAGAAGCATGAATTTATATTTCTGTCAGTGTTTTTAGCTTTTATTTGGTAATGTCCTACATTTTTCTTGAATGTACTACATTTTGTGGTGCCTCATCCACCTTTGTGGTTAGGACATCTTGTCACCCTGGTTTCATGGCCAAATGGGGAATTGAACCCTGATCTCCACAGTTGCAGTCCAACACTCAAACCATTATAACACACAGGCCCATCATCATCATCATCATCATCATCATCACCTTCCCCTGAGGCTGAGAGGGTGTGACCTGCCCAAGATCACCCATTGGGTTTCATGGCCAAGCAAAGAATCAAACCCTAGTCTCCAGAATCATAGTCCAGCACTCAGACCACTACACCATGCTGGCAGCTGTTTCTTCTTCTTTTTCCTCTTCCTCTTCCTCTTCTTCTGCTTATTATTATTATTATTATTATCCCACTTTCCACCTAAAATCTACTAAATAAAAGAAGGCAAGCAACATCCTCAAATCATTCACAGACCTCTTGAAAAATGGAAGCCTGTCACTCACAGGATCAGCATATTTGCAGAATG